AATCAAATCAGACACAGCGATGTGACTCACATTACCTGAGTTTTGTGAAGTAAGGCCTCATTTGGCTATTTTGATAGACTCTAGCCAAAATCGCGAGCTATAAAGTTGTAGAGCCTTATTGAAATTACTCTCACTAAGTTTGCAGCAAATTTTGAATTATAAATGTGTAGGGTAACTAAAATACAAGTGACAGATTTTGTAGTTATGTTGGAGGAAAACTTGTAAGAATTTTCTGACACTTCATCAATTAGAAATCATTGCATCGCGATCAATCTAAAAAGATGTCACAAAACGAAAACCATTTTTCTGCGACAATCTTTTTTTATAGCTATTTTGATTTAATTTAGGGTAAGGATAAGCCCAAAACGGTGCTATCCATGTGCTTCGCTGGAAGTGGTGATGTGATCACGGGTGACTCAAACGGGACCCTAACACTCTGGGATCCTACCACATATAAAGCAAAAAAGCAGGTGAGTATCTTCATGCATAAATGCCGAACGCCTTTGCAATAAATTCCTTTCATTGAGGCGCATGTAGTACATCATGGCGGTGTATTTGCACTATGCATCAGCAAAAAAGGTACGCTACTCAGTGCTGGTAAGGATAGGACCATTGCTGAATGGGAGACTACGGATTTAGTGCGTAGGCGAAGACCTGTTGAGGTAAGTTGGCTTCTAACAAGCGAAGAGAGGAGCTTGTAAGAGCGAAGCCAGAGCTTCGAAACTTAGTGTTTTCCACCATTGCTCCTTCCAGCTACCAGATGATGCTGGGGTTCCACGTGTACTCTTAAACCCAGTAGGTGATAAGATCATCGTAGGAACATCGCGGAACACGCTCTATTCTGGTGACTTCGAGACTGGCTTTGAGGAAATAGTAGATGTGAGTTCAAGAAGGATCGCCATTTGTATATAGATTTGGTTTTCGAAAACTAGGGCCTGTTGAAAGCTGGAAATCTGCAGTTATAGAAAGGGCTTGTACTAAGCAACTACATGAATGGGAACAATGCAGCTTCTGTGTTTTTGTATGAGTATGAAAATCTTCGTTTTGAGGGAATAGTGGATGTGAGTTCTAGAAGGATTGCTATTTCTATACGACTGGCCTCTCTGCCGTGATATCTATATTGGTTTTCTTCATAAAAGTACAAGAATGCTCTAACGCTTTACCGTAGTCCAAAACTTACACTTTAGTGTAGAAGTCAGAATCATGGAGCTTAACTGAAATATGTGTTAGAAAACAGAACATCTACAGTAACACAAGTTTTCATCAAAAACGGCAACACGTTCTCCATAAAATTGAACTTCTTTTTAGGCGGATTTATCTTGCACGCAAAACACTATTCAGATGCCAGCCCAGATTTATGTAATCAGTCTCTGCAACTTCTTTTAAGAAAAGCTACATTATATTAACCTAAGTAATGTCGTCAGAGATCCGAAAAAGCTTACAGCCAACTATTCATAATGTTGAGAAATTCCAAACAATTCTTGCTTTTCCGGGTGATGCGGAAGACGTGACTTCTTGTGTGGCTTTGAAACCGAACCACTTTGTGACAACGAGTGCTGATGGTTGCCTTCGATGTTACAACTCATCCACTAAGCGTAGGGAATGGCGACGAACGCTAGGAGTGGGAATCCTCTCGCTCATGACAATTTGCATAACCTTAATTTTTCTTCCTTCCAGGAAAGCGTCACGTGTGCATCAGTAAACCCATCCGGTTCACTTTTGGCTCTCGGTTTTGCCACGGGTACATGGAAAGTGATGGACCTGTCGTCGATGGAAATTGTATTCGAGCAGACAGGCTCATCTCAAGCTGTGACCGCGATTCAGTTCGCGCCAAGCGGTGATCTAATATTCGTGGCCACAAAAGTGAGTCTCTCAAATTTCCAATGAAATTACCATGAATAATCTATTACAATAATCTATTTATTCAATAATCTATTAATCTAGTTACGAATAATTATCAATAAGTAATCAGTTTTTATGAGACAATTGCGTTACACAAGACGATATTTGCTTTTTTGTATAAAGGCTCAACAACATTTCAAAAAATTTTAGGAGTTGTTTGCCACAATTTTCCGTTTTGAAACTCCGCAACGTCTCTATCAAACAGCAAGGATAGGCCCACTGTCGTCATTCGCCATCTTCCCAGACTGGGACGTGAACTCACAGTATATCCGAGCAAACTCTACAATAGGACACATTTATCACTGTAAGCGAAAAAAATTAATAGTCGACTACACACTACACAAGTAGAGAAGACTTTCCCAGGGTCGGCCATTAATGGGGAATTAGTGGACCATGCCACTGTTCGCGATGTCGAATGGGTTACTGGAAACTGTAGGATATCATATGAGGCAGGATACATTGCACATGCAGTTGAAGGCAGGCATAGGACCATGATTTCTACGGGCCTACTTCCTCCACATCCAAGTGTTTCTTCCAGGTATTACAATAGTTTGTCGGTCGCCGTCCAAAGACTTACTGGTTGTTGGGCGAGACAATGGTTCAGTCAGGCTTTATGACTGTCCTGTACAAAGTACAAAGGTACTGGATTACTTTGTAAATTGGTATTTGCAGCACCTCATTCTAGTCATAGGGTTAGATGTGTCCAGCTTTGCCGAAAAATTGTGCAAGATGGTATTTAGGCTGGTTTTCATGCTCTATGTGGGCACACCCATGCGATCGCCGGCCTCGCTTATGTTGGGAATGATCTGGTCACAGCTGGAATCATTGACAGTTCCATATTCCAATGGCATTCTTGATCAATTTTATCCTCTGTACATTTGTATGAATGCTTTACTGTCCGAATATACAGCTTTATTGCACGATTACAGCTTCATTGCACTCTCATAGAGCTAGTATGTAATGAAAACCTCAAACAAAGTACTGGAGCCTGATTGAAGAAAAAGATGGAGCTAATCTTATAGTCAACATCTAGCGTAAGATGCGTGATTACGAAAGAAACATCATCGCCTGAACTATTCCAAGTGTTGCACAAATGAGAACATAGCCTATGCGTACTGACAGAAAACTTTTCTTCTCCTAGAGGCGGTGTAAAAAACTTGGGTCAGAACTTGGGTCTTACAGTCTTCCTGGGTTATAGCTCTTTAACACCACTGATGCAAAGGTTATAAAACTTCCGAGACCCCGCTTCTAAAAAGTTTTGACGATCTACGCCCTGCCACGGTGGCTACACTAGTCGAGGTAGAGGGACGTGTTGCTAAACGTACAATAAGTTTCGATCCGCTTTAGGCGGAAATTGGACTGGCGGGCGTCCGCGTTGCAACGGTTCGCGTCGTTTCGCAGCTACAGTACGCCGTGTCGTGGTGAGAACCCAAGTCTGCGTCTCTTCATTCTCCTTAGTCTTAGCTTGGCAAAATGCCATCGCCAGGCGCTCGCGAAGCCTCAAGCGGTGCGCATGCGCTGCTTTTCTTGAAATGTTCCGCCTATTCCGGGATGAAACCGACTGTACACGTTTAGCAACATGTCCTTCTATTGTCCCTCCCTCTGTCCCTTTATTAGTGAATAATGTGAACTCGTCCAGCGCGCTGAGTGGACTCCAGGAAGTTTTTCGAGAGTGCTTTTCTTGGCATAGGAGTGCCCGTAGCAGGGCTGAGCACTCCTACGCCAAGATGGTCTGGGGTCAGACGAGACTTCGTTTTTAGGGTTAGGAGCGACGGGGATATCGTTTTTAGAGGTCCTGGGCGGAGCGCCGAGGAAATTAAACCACAAACATGTCAGGTTTTACGAGTTGACCAACTGAGTTCACTGACTTTTACGTCAAAAAAGACTTCGTAAACTTTCGCCAAGTCATGGTGGAGTTCGTTTTCAAAAATGGTCCAAACCAACGCGTGTCGGGCCCTGCCCGTATCGAGTCATTAGAAGCAGTGGCCTATTTAGGGATTCTTCTAACAAAGTCTGTGCACCCTGCCTCACTGTGAGACGCCCGCTCGCAGGTATCAAATCCACCAAAACTGTATCTGCGATAGACAACTGTGATATATACGTTAGTTCTGACAAGGAAAGAATATTTGGTGACCGTAACCACTTTGCACGCATAAATCTTGCATCACCCAGAGTTGTTCTCATGGGACTATCAACTGTAGCTGCCTTTTGATCGTTTCAGTATGTCAATTTTGAACAAGCGCCTCATATTTGCTGGAGTTTACATGTTAAAACGATTGAAAGGCAACAACGTTAATGGTATCTATGGAAACAATTCTGGAGGATGCACCATAAAACATGAGATGCAGAGAAATCTTGAAATCTTGTTTCCAAATCTGCCAGCAATATCTGCGAAAAAAAGTTCTGAGGTTATGAACTTTTCGTTTAAAAAATTTTGATTGGTCTAACTTACTGTCTGATGCTATTTAAAAAGTCTGGACAGGCTAGTGTTTTATTGAGGCTCACTAACTCAAATTTAGCATTTGAGCAACCAAGAAATTTTTATATTGATGACTCAAACCCTCTGCTGTGCAACTCATGCTCTAGAGTGCTCTCATCATTCCATCCTATTTATCATTTCGCAAACATGGATGACAGGTCAAACCGCATCCAGTAGCTATTATTACAGCCTTACTGCTCCTTTACAGTAAGCCTCAAAGAAAACGAACTGACTTCTTCGAGTATCTTGTATCCTGTTCTCAGGCGTATAAGCCGCACCCTCTTTGCTCGAAACTTGAGCAGTCCCACGGTGTCACTGCGCATAAAGTCTGTCCTAAACAGGCCAAAATTGGCATTGCGGGAGCTCGCGTCGCCTAATTTTTGCGTTACGTATGCGAACGCAGCGTCCGGGTATCAATCAATACAGCCAAATTCAGACTCGATGGATTCTTTTCGCGTTTTCGTCCATTTCCCTTGTTTTTTTCATCGGAATAACTGCTTACAGATATTTTTAAAGTAAATCTAGGCATTGCACACTTGAATAATTTTTGGTCAAAACAACATAGTAAGATCCACAGCAAAACTCGCAAAATCCTAGCATGAGTATGCAAGCATTCGCAAAAATAATTCGCCACAATCAAAGAATAAGGCAGCAAAAGGGATAAAAAATGAGCTAACTTATTCTTGCAAACCTCTTTGGCTATAAAGTAATCAGCACAAGCATCTAACAATAAGAATGGATGATGAAATCAAATGCACGTTGATAGGCGAGAAAACCACCGGAAACGCAAAAAATACGACATCTAGGCCGATGACCGCGGTATTGATTGACACCTGGCAAAATGCCCTGGCTCTCACTCGCAAGCGCAGCGCAGGCCCAGTGCGCTGCGAGCGCAAAACGCCGCGCAGACTTATCGGTCTGGTCCGGATTGGGGCAGACTGTATATCTCGAGAGGCGGTCGCTTTCTCGCACATTGCTCTCACTTAACGCGCCCCATGGTGACAGGCAATTTTTTGGCTTGTTCGCCTTTAGAGCAAACAGGGCGCGGTTTATCCCCGAAACTAGGGTATTCGGTATTTCATACAAAGAAGTCACTGAGCATCTGATAAATGTGGGGGAACTTGTCGCAAATCCTATCTCAGAAAAGTTGTGAGAAAGCAACCAAACCGTTTACCGACTGTACTTTTACTCTCTGGATTGTTACTTATATGTGCCTCATCACTGGCTGATCTAGCGATGGTTAAATTGCGTGAAACCCAATATCAAAGTTTTTGCACCAACCTTATTTGTATTGTCTATACTAATTGTAAGGCTGAAAGACTCTGCATACATTGTTCAAACAATTCATTTCGTTTTCACCTTTCAAGTGAAAAACCTCAGATGAGGCAAATCACAGGTATAATTTGTTAAGCCCACATTCAACTTATTAAGACATCGTTTGCAACGGTGCTCGAGTCATTCTCAGAAACAACGATGCTCGTCTACGCGATCACTCTGTTTGCAAGGTACAGGGCATTCTAATCATCGTGACGATGGGCGACCGCGCGCGATATGCACGCACTCACGACAACCGCATTTTCTTATACTTCCTCCCTACTCGAAGGTTTTTCTGCTCACATAATTAGTATCTAGGCAATGGAATTGACTGAGATGGATGAGGTGATGCCTTTTCGTACGAGTGTGATTGTGTTCCTATGGGCGCGAAGACCGCAGTCCCGTCGTCACGATTAAATGAATGCCCTTGTTGCCAAAGGTGACCTGCATACGTATAGTGAAGTAATATCATTGAGTGTTGCGTTTATTTTATAGTTTATATTTATTCTTGTTTGTGTCGATTCTGTTGATAACTTCTAATGTTGGAGCAGCACCCCACAACGGAAGTAGCTGGCCAGACAAGAAGTACAAGTCAATGCGAACGTCCTAGCAGTTTATCATTGCTCCAGTTTTAACTTGATTACACAAGTTAACTTATCCAGACTTATCAATAGATCAGTTAACAATGACGACGAAGCATCTAGAGGGTGTGAATAATGATGTTTGAGTAAGGTCGATCAGTCTCAATAGTTTTGACCATGATTCTCTACCGGGCACTTCTGACGATATATATATATATATATATATATATAAACCTCAAAAATTGTCAGTTTGGAGGGTATGTGCGTTGTAGAAACGCGCGCCGCTCAACCGATTAAGCTGAAACTTTACACACATATGTTTTCGAGCCTTGCGCAGATGATAGGCTACTTTTTGCAGCGATTCGTTGGGTCCTTCTGTCGATTTATTGATTTGCAGCAATAAAAATGATTCTTATCATTTGCTATCAAAACAGGGGTATGTAAACAAGGCTGGCTTGTCTCATTGTGAACTTCTGTTGACGAAGTGCAGTGAGAAGTGTTCTTGATGTGAGTCTCAATTGCTCATTTGAATGGATGTACTAAATGTATCTTATGCGGAAACCTTAGCGTGCAAGAGACCATGAGTGCTTTGTAGCGAGTTTTGTACGGAAGCGTGCTCAATTTACGCTTATAATCAATGCTTTCTTCGTTACATGCTCAGTTTAAACAATTAGGGGTCAAAATTTTTCATGAGATTGCGCACAAATTTTTGTCAATACCAGAAATAATGTAAAACGATACTTACTTAGTTACAGTCAAGATTGTCAGAAAGTGTCTCCAGAAAAGAAGACATTTTCTGTTAAACAGCTTCAATCAATGTGGTGAGCAAAGTGAGTAGCCGGTTGCAGCAAAGCAACACAAAAATGAAGCTTATCATTGCAAAAGCTATGACGCTTCTTATCGCTTCTTTGCGTGTCAAACCACAATGCTTGATCTGTGAAGTCGCTGGAGTTGATTACGTTTGATTGAGAAAAAATTGCACAAATACAATAATTCTTACTTTTTACTGTCTGTTTTTTTTTCATAGTTACTACGATGCCGCCGAAAAGGTCACTTATTGGAACGACCAATCCTCATGCGAAGAGAATGAGAGAAGTGCGAGAGAGGGAAACTGCTGAAGAGCGTGAAGCTCGCCTTGCAGCCAATCGTACCAGAACTTCTCAGTCAAGGGCAAATGAAACAGCAGTGGAGCCTGATGTGCGACTGAGTGAGTTGAGTCAAAGGCGCTCTGAACTAAGAGCTACGGAAACATCTCAGCGGCAGCGCCTCCGACTCAACGATAGCAGAATGAGAATGGCTGAACTTCGAGCTGCACACACAGAAGAACAGTCAAACATCAGACGTGAGGCGAATCGACGAATCCAGGCTGCCACAAGAGCCGCAGCTGAACAACATGAACATCGACTGCGGTCTGAAAGGCAGCGCCAATTTCAGGCACATCAAGCAAACAGATGGGCCGATTTGAAGATGGCAGCATTCAATTATGCTCCCAATCAAAACATTTCTCTTCATCCGAAAGTGATCATTGGAGAAATGGATGTGGTTTGTAGGTACTGTCGGGCACGAAAGTTTGCGGCAGAGGCACCTGGGATGTGCTGCTCGAATGGTAAAGTCCAGCTAGCACCTATAGAAGATCCTCCTGAACCGCTGCTTTCATATATGGAAGGCATGACGTCAGATTCCAAACATTTTCTACAGAACATTAGAAAATACAATGCTTGCTTTCAAATGACGTCCTTCGGATGCACTGTTGCTGTCAGTGAAAGCGGCTTCATGCCAACCTTCAAAGTACAGGGGCAAATATATCACAGAATCGGGTCACTGCTCCCTGTATCCAACGAAAATCCCAGTTCCTCCAACTTTACTTTGTATCTGATGAGCAATTGCAGAGCAGTCGAAAGGTGTGAGATTATACCGGGAGGTCGAAAACATAGATTTGCTTTGAACTTCGTCTAGGGTGTCATATAGCGCGCTAACATGAATATCGTGCTGATTTTGCAGGATTTTGCATTTTCTTGGGTTACGGTGGGTGTAGTTGGGTCGAAGTTCCAGATTTGCTCAAAACCTTACCTGTAACGGTTCACAAGCATATCGCTTATAAATATAATGCTTGCTCGCCGTCATAACGCATTAGTGAAGTTATAGTGAGTTGCAGGGTTTGAATGGATATTTTTTCGCTTTCGGGCCAATTTAGGTCCCAGATATTCACGAAGAGGGGAAACGGTCGTTTTGCATGGCGGTCTCCAGCGCCATCCTGACAACCTGTCCCAACGCCGTAACGCACACGGCGAATCTCCCTCCCCTGTTTTTGCTTAGGCAAAAGCCGCCGAAGGGTGTATCGCACGCGGCAGTGTGGTCCTATAAGGAAACTGATAACCTGTCTCAACGCGTAACGCACGCGGCAAATCTCCCTCCCCCTGTGCTTAGGCAGAAGCCGCCGAAGGGTGCATCGCGCGCGGCAGTAATCCTAAAAGGAAACTGATAACCTGTACGCGTAACGCACGCGGCAAATCTCCCTCCCCCTGTTCTTGCTTAGGCAGGTATCGCGACCGAAGGATGTATCACACGCGGCAGTGGTCCTTTAACACATTCACGACAAGGCCGATTTTTTTCTGCCATTTCGGACCAGAGCATATTACGCAGAATTGAGTTTGCAGAATATTTTTAGGTCACTGATGGGCCCTGTAGTCTGAAGTGTTAATCTTTTGGGAAGACTTTGAGAGGTGTATGCAGGAGTTTACTCTGCTTGTCTAGAAAGTTTCACCGTAAACTAGCAAAATCAAAAACTTCAGTAAGCATACGACCCACCGGTGGGTCGTATTGTCCGAAATGGCAGAACACTTACGACCCACCGGTGGGTCGTATTGTCGTGAATGTGTTAAGGAAAGCACTACGGTCGTGGGAAACTTCTATACCACATAAATTGGCATTATCGTGGGGACTGATTGAGTACGATATTCTTGAAACGGCACTTTAGGTAATTCCCTGCCAAGGTCAGGCAGGTTCATGATTTTTACCCGTTGCTACGGAAATGACTACGATATTCGTCATCAGCGGCTTGAATAACCGTCATATACCGAGTTTGAGCAAGACCCACCACAAAAACATTTTAGGGCCCGGATAGCCGAATAACCCATCGGTTTTTAAAATTATCCTTACTTTTATCGATTTTATCGTTGTTGTTTTTTTGCAAAGTTTGAGCTACGGGGCTGTGGGGTTTTTGAGGAAGGTAGGTGAGCATACTGATTACTAACACAGCGGGAATAGGGAATCGCATGTAGAAGTGGGCACAGGTAAGGGTGTACAGGAATAGAAATGGAACCTTTATCGTTTTTGACAGGGCCATGCGGAGCCGGGTAAGCCAGCTAGTATGTCATAAAGATTGAGCAGATACAATGCATTATGCTGTCCGGAAATTGATGTCCGTTTTGAATTTCAATCGCGGTAAATCATACACTTTTTATTTTTTTTTAGGTTTTAAGGTACCATTCGATAGAGCAAAGCAAGCTATACAGAATGTCATCTTGATTTTGCAACAGCTCTCATTAACCTTAAAGGCAGTGGCTCGGCAAATCTCAACCTAGTCAAATTTGCGCTTACCTGGGGTTTTTCAATACGCTGATCCCGAAAATCCACTTTTGAAAGCTTGAAAACGGCGATTATAAGCGTTTTTTAATGCCCCTCCCTTTGATATTGGACGAGTAGAGCAAGGCCGATGACGCTAAATCGTGGCAGGACCCAATAGTTATAGCGTTGCGGCGGGCAGCCTCCAATGGTGAGAAGGACATTGCCAACTAGTCCAGATGCGTGTAAGATTGGCCTGCGCGTACAAGTTCGAGAGCAATTTTCTCGGCAGGGAAAGCATGCTGTGCAACCGGGATTGCACTGTCTTCATAGTTGGGCGATAAGGCTACCGCGTTAAAATCCCGAGTTGTTGGATTTTGCCGATCCACTGTCTTTAAGTTTCGAGCCAAAAACTAAAATGATTCAGCTGCACGAAAAATTGAGAAAAATCGTAACTCAATTTTATAAAAATCCTACAAGAATTCTAACTTGCTCACGTAAACATTGTCCACACAAGACATCTATACACGCCGTTGTTGTCTTTTTTCATCTTTTGGAAATCAAAAAAACGGAAACGCATTTTCATAAGTGACTCTGTGCAGTCCCCACATGCGTGATTCCGTACTACAAACTTATAGAAGTATAAACGTAATTTTTCAGCTCTCTAAAAGCTTTAATTCTTGAGAAATTTGAATTTTGGTTTGGACCACCTAACTAAGGAAAGCCATATTCGATATTTCTCAAGAACCGAAGCTCGTAGAAGGCTAAAAAATTACATTTGTACTGCTACAGATCTGTAGCAGCTTCACAACTACGCATGTGGGGACAGCACAGCATAGCTTTGCAAAATGCACGCAAATTTCCGTTTTCTTGATTTCTAGAAGGTGGAAAAAGACGGCAACGGCGTATATAGATGTCTTATGTGGACACAGGGCCAGGCACAAGCTTGTCAAATGACAAGCTGGAAATCGTTTTCGGCAAAAAAAGCAAAGGGAAAATCGTTCTTGCGGGGTCCGGGGCGGAGCCCCGGAAAAAAATTGGTAGTGCACGTTCTCTGCTTATTTTAACATGTTATGTGCCTCTACATGCGAAGACTGGAGTTCGCGCGCGTCAAACCGCGCCGTCGCTAAATGCCGCACGCGCGACGTCGCTCAAACGAGCTATTTGTAACGGCATGCATGACTAGTTCTCAATGTACACGTCCGTGGACACAGGCCTGTAGGAGCTAACTTAGGAGTTTCATTGAAAAATTATGTGACTGAAGGTTGTGGCAAACTTTTTTCCGAAAATTTCCCGCTACCAAAGAAAAGGAAAAATGGCTCGTTTGCAATGCAGAGGCGACGAAATCGCGCGGGATTCAATGTGTATATGCGCAGTAGGACTAAGTAACAATGTATGAAAAATTATGAAAAACTTATGTGAATGAAGAGTTTCCCTAACTTATTTCCAAATTAGCTTGTCATTTGACAAGCTAATGACAAGCTGAGCTTGGCAAAACTCTCAATTCACATAATTTTTCCAAAATTTTTACATAAATCTACTCTACACCTAAACATTAGTATATATTGAAATTTTGGTTTCAAACCTCCTCCTCTCACCATTGCTAGAGGCAAAAATAGCCTCAGCGGCCCCGTTTCCTAAGGAGGAAAGCGTGTTCCAATCAATCGGTGACGGCGTCTGAGTCCTATAATCGGCGTTGGAGAAGATTTCCAGTCGGATGATCAGAATCTCCATTACCCTTACAAGCATTTTCGGACTCTCATCTTATTTTCTTTGTTTTCACACATTTTTTGTATACTAAGCGCTCATCATTACTTGCGTTGTTCTAATCTGTGCCTTTTCATTATCACTGTCACAGCATGTATGTTCCGTCAGCGTTGCGGGCTCATACTGTCATGTGTTCCTTCTGGTTTTTTTTACCTCTTTTGCCTTATTTAGATGTTCTTTATCGATTTACTAGAATTAGTGTTTCTTCTCAGTGTTAGAATGTGCATATTTGTCCCGTACTTTGAATCATTGTCATTTTTCTTCCTTTTCTGATTGTCGGGATGAATAGAAATCATTTCCAGAAATGGTCATTATGGAACGATCTGTAAATACTTTGCAATTGGGTCACGGCTACATGGTAGTATTGCTCTGCCTCTTGACAGACTCAATGTAGAGCCAATGTAGAGCTTTTGGTCCTAATCGAAATTGGATGAGTCGAAAGGTACTAGTTCGTTTTCTTATGTTTGCGTTGTTCATTTTAATTCATCCATTTGTTTTGTTTTTAACTTATCAGAAATTTCCATTCTATTCTGTCAAGGAATAAGCCTTTTGTACTTCACAATCGCTTAGGTTCCCGACGGGTACTTGTACTTCGAGAAGTTAACGATGGGGCACAGGGCTAGGAACGAATTGATCACTTCCTTGTTCCCAAGCAAAGAAGTTAATCAAAATTGAGCCTGGAAAAAGTTTGGAGGAAATTTAATCCAGAACAGTGCAGTTGCTCCACTTTTGCAAGTGCCATTAGATTATGGCAGACGCCATGCTTATTCGGTATCGGTTCATTCGTTCCGCTCCTTCGGAATTGGTCATCACTGAATTGACCAATAGTGAACGACGAAGTGGATGAACCGATCGGACCGGATATGTGTGGCACCTACCTTAGAGCCTATAAAATCGTGTTAATTGTTTGCATTCTTTGCTCCTTTCAAACGTCACGAGCACGTAAAGAATTGCAACGGAATACATCATTTTAATGCTCAGCTCAGCCACTTCTAGTAGCTGAAAGTTACTGCACGCGCTAAAGAAGACTTCGAGTAGAGAGCTGGGAGCCAAATGTTGTAAGGAAGTCAGAAAAGCGCGAATAGGCTACTGCGTTTTTCGTTTTTTTTTCGATGGGCAAGATGGCTGGAATTTAGCTCCACCTTCAACGGGATTATAACTTTGTGCATTCCCTTACAGCATCCAAAGCGGTAACAGTTTGATTTTTGTTGAACTTCTGCACAAATCTGTTAATTAGTGATGCAAAAGTGAAAATGAGAGAAAACACAAGCTTGTCCAGAAAGCCCTGGCTTTGATTATGCACTTTTAGTTGGTAGTTTTATTCTAGAAAGTAAGGCTAGGCTTTGATTTTTTCAAGACAGCATTTTGGGGGCATCTGATCAAAAAAGCCAAAGGACATGTTTGATTGATAAGGAAATGGAACGCTATAGCGTGTGGAGCATTTTGCATAGCATCAATCGATCTTAATTGAGTTTCGCGGATCCAGATTTTGTCTTGAAGTACTGTCTAACAAACGTGTACAAAAGCTGTTTCTTCTGAATCCGTAATCATGCCACCATCGCTATTCATGGCAACGCATTTCCAGATGGTCGCCGATGTAGTGTCATTTGTGCGGTTTTCAAGGTCTTCTGTATGTGTACAAACACCATAGGTTCGTTTTCATACAGACTTTTGTATCGGGATATACTGAGTGGTTTTCCAGTGATGTTCTAAACTGTGAAATGAAGTTTGGAGCCTATGTTCCCGATCACAAAAAAGTCAAACGTTCGCCTGTTTTATCTTTCCGGTGGGTTTCTTTCAGATTTCTGCCTAAAGTGCAAGTACTTCTGCACTTTGGCTTTTTATCCTATTTTTTTTCTCATGGTTAGTCTATGTGAGTTAGCAACGGTAGCAGCTTTTTCTTTTGATTGTAGTTGTTCTGTTCTTGCTCGACAGTGTGAAGCCTGATGGGTTTTACTCAGCTTACGGCATGATCTGTGGCATCAGGGTTAGTTTTTGTTGGTTTTTTTCCAGTGCAGGAGTATCTTTTGAACTTTTATGTTAGTTGTGCAGTATCCTGTTATCGTTGCTTCATCGAGCAAAGGCGCTCCACCTGGTTATATTTGATTGTTCTTCCTTGTTACCGTGAGTATCATTGAGCTATCTATCTTTTATAAGGAAGTAAAATCTGCATTCAGGCTAGTCCCACCTGAGAATGGCACTTTGCAATTCTCGGTGTTGTCACATCCAGGAGGCGGAAAAAAGAACAGACCTTTGGGGGGTATCGGCGTTGTTCTTATTACCTGATGCGAGATCTCATGCTGATGCACCCGAATCGGGCTTCACCTTCCGCGCTGCACGATATTGAGAGTTTGAGTTGACGTTCGAGTACTGCGGTGTTAATTTTTTCAGCTTCAAACGATGAAGTCTTCTCCGATTTGCTTTTCTTATCGCTGTTTCCGTTATTGTAATATTTTAGGTCACCTCATTTTGGTTTTCTATTGTTAGTTTCTCCAATCAAGCAATAAAGAACGAAAATGTCAGCAAAAATGCCATCTTCAGTCATTTTAAATGATTGAGCCATTCAATTCGCCACAAATCTAATATTCAATTCGACCAGCTTCCTTTTCACGAGGTAGCTGATCATAAATTCTAGTACTTTTAATATAAGGCGTATTAATTCTAGAAATTCGTTAAATCAGCTGAGCCCAAAAATTTTACCATGCAAGCAGTTTGGAGTTTTTCCACAGCTTTTTGTGCCACACCCCATTAACTTACCTTCAAACCATCTAAATCTCTGTCTTTTTTATATGGTTGCTACTGCTAAATCTTCTTCTCCACATAGCAGGAATTTCATTCAAATTGTCTCTCCTGGGAAAAGATACAGTTGTTTTTCCTTAGCTAAGGAAATGGAAAACGCTGCGAAAATATTGGATTACGATAATATGTTAAGTCCGCGCTACTACGCGAATAGCGAGCGAAGGCGGCAAGAACAGGTACATTCGATAGCCTGATTCTAATTTAAAAAAATGGGATAAACGAGATTTTGGCTTGCTCTTAATTCCCAAGTTTGGCTTAATTGGAGTGGAATTCCTAATACGAGCAAAGAAGTCGTAGTACTGTGCAATGTGTGCAAAAAGAAGTAGTTTACTCTCCTTTGAAACAAAGTTAAGATGTTCGAAAATGACCAACTTGAGTGTCCCAATATTTGGAAACCTCAAAATTCGCTGAAACTTGGCCTTCAGGGGCTATTTGAAATTTTAATTACGAAAATGGTGCTCTTTTGCTTTCAGGATTTCTTAAATATGCTTACTGTGCGTGTACGACGGTAGGCCCAAACATCATACAATGGGCCTACCAGACATTTTTGAATGCGTAATGCTAACATTACTATCACCTCGATGACAATAACGACCCCCCCCCCCCCAGGTGTGGCATGTCATACCCCACGCTTGACCCTGACTATAACCTCAATTCGAAAGGACGAGAAAAAGCGCCAGAGAGACTCCCGCCGTCGATCGACTGGTTGGTCGGAGTCGCGGACATAGTGACAAACACCGTTGTTCATGTCCTCCTTGAGACCATGCAGAATATTCTTTTCCTCGTACTGGCCTTCACAAAGAAGGTCTGCAAATATGTGGAAAGGGCGAAGAGGGGCAGGTGAATCGCCTTGGAGGGAAGGGGGACTCCCTAAAGGCAGCGTCCCACCAGACTGGGGATAGCCCTGGCTCTGGTAGTAATGTAATAGTAGACCCCCTGACTAAGCGATGGCAGAAGTTTGCAGCGCGAAAGGGATGTACGAAGTCTACATCGCCCTCAAGTGGCCCAAATCTTATGGTAGGCTCGGGCGAGTGCGAGATGCATGCAAGATAGAGATGTATAATCGTCATTGCGGGACCCTGCGCTCATGACTGTGTGCGCTATACGCACTCTGGCCGTGCATTGATATTGCTGTCTGGGCGGCGTCCGGGCCGTAAGATTCGGGCCACTTTCGGAGCAGATTTCAGGCTTGAGAGGTACTGTGAAGGTGTGATTACTTGAGGGTGAGTATGTATGATGAGTGGAGTAGAGTGTTAGGGGTATGTTTGTAGGATTACTAGAGTGCTTGAGAGTGAGTGAGAAGACTAATGTGAGGAGTATGTGTGGACAACTGCTCGACAACTTGAAGGTGAGAGGTTTCATAAATTGTGAGCATATGAATGGTAAGAATTCCACCCGCCTTCCAGCTGCCGGTGCAAATTTTATTGACTTCATTGCAGGGATCTGTAGTATGATCTCATTTGTTTTTTGCTATTCTCATGAATGCATTTTGTTTTTTTCCTCAATGAAACTTGTTCTATGGGTAAAGTGTTCACTGCGCAATCACTGGGACCAATTTTTGGGTCAAAGGGGTATTCGTAAAAAATTTTGGGGTCAAAGGGGAATTCGTTTTCAAAAACCCCTTTTGACAACCTCGTGCCGGGCCCTGTGTGGACAGTGTTCATGTGAACAAGTTAGAATTTTTGTAGGACTTTCATAGGATTTTACTAATTTACAATTTTTCTCAATTTTTCGTGCAGCTGAATCATTTTAGTTTTTGGCTCGAAACTTAAGGTTAATGAGAGCTGTTGCAAAATCAAGATGCCACAGCTGTAGAGCTTGCTTTGCTCTATCGAATGGTACCTTAAAACCTACTCAGAAATAAAAACTGTATGACTTACTGCGATTGAAATTCAAAACGGACATTAATTTCCGGACAACCTAATACACATTGTTCGGACTAAAAAAGAAACTAAGATGTCTCTGATAGCCCCAGCAAAGTTGGCGGAAAGATAATCAGTTAACAAAACATCATGACAACTGCACGTTTGACTTAAAGAGGAATTGGAACTGTAGTGACGATAATTGCGAATATACCATTCGACTATTCAAAAAAAGAATTTTTTTCTACGCTTTGATTGAGTACACAGTTCTAGGAATATGACAGCAAACGACAAGCGAAGATTGATCGAAACGATGATAGTCACAAATTCTGTTTGTTGTACAGTACGTGAACATTGTGAAGAAGAACCAGAGCAAGAAAACACTCTACTTGATAAAACACACTCACTGAAATAGAGGAAAGAGCAATTATACCATTAATCAGAAGACAAAACAGTCACTCACAGTTCACACTGCTAGACAAAAGAAGCGTACCGATAACGCGTTTGTAGCCGTGTAATAGACTTTTTCCAGTGTGTTGTGAGTGATCACAACACAAATCAAGTATGAAAGAAAGAAACGAAGGAAAGCTATAAACTTGAAATTTGGATAACTTCAGTTCCAAACGAGCTGCATCTATCACGGGCGACTAGAGGCAGGGCCCGGCACGCGTTGGTTTGAAGCGTTTCTGGAAACGAAGTCCCCCATGACTTCGCGAAAATTTACGAAGTCCCTCTTGACGTAACAATCAGTAGGGAAACCCTTAATCAGTCAAAATAACATTAAAAAAGCGAAAAAAGCGCATTTTGAGGTAACTAATACAACAAAAAAAGCAAAAAGAAGACATTTCGAGTTGATTAAAGGCTCTGTCATTGAGTAGTGTACCATTTTAGCGCTCAGAATGTCGAGAACCTCCTAGGCCAACCAAATCTGTGGCCTCAACTATCTGGCAGTGCATTTTTCGCCACATAGTTCAAAGGACACCGCGTGTGATTGGAACGCAATATTTATCAAAGCGTATAGATTTGCACTACTTTTGGCTTAAAAGAAGAGGAGAGGCAATAGTTTGATTCGCTCTCTTCACTACATAATAGATTTTTGTGCGTTTTAATCGTCCAAATCAAAAAGGTCCAAAACTTATGTGAACTCTCCGAAATTTATGCTCCGAACCAACCCAGTTGGTTCGGTGGTTGGTCTAGAAACCAACAAATCCGGAACGGATATTCAGACACATAAGTTTTGCGAACTTTTTACATAACATAGTTTGGAGTTATATTGTATACTCATAGCCCAAATTCGGAGCCATGTGATTGTTTGTGCGCTGTAAACAAGCCATTTGTTTGTTTGAGTCTTGCATTTGAAATTCGCGCGCTTGCGAAAGAACACGTTCAACTCGTGAAACCTGACATGTTCGTCGTGTTTTTTGGCGCTTCCTCCAGGACCTCATAAAAACGATGTCCCCGTTGCTTCTAACTCCAAAAACGAAGTCCAGTTTGACCCCAAACCATCGGTGCCGGGCCCTGACTAGAGG